GGTACCAGCAGTCAGGAAATAAGGATATGCATTGTACTGGAAAAGTCTGCAGTTAGGGACCTCTCAAATTATTGAGGAATAATTATGTCAGTTTGAAGACTAAGGTGTGTCTGATTCAGGCAAATGAATAGGGATGGCAGAAGAAATACTGATGCCTTTGAGCTGCAGTGATGGAGAAAAGCACTGAACATCCTACGGACCATCAAAAGAACAAACAAATATGTCCTGGAGAGGGTGCAGCCAGAGTGCTCTTTGAAGGCTTTGCTTCACATACTTCAGGAATGTTGCTAGGAAGGGCTATCCCTTGAGACGGACATGATGTTTGGAAGGGTAGAGGGTGGCAAAAGACAGGAAGACCTTCAACAAGGTGAATTAACATGATGACTGCCTCAATGGTAAGTGTGAACCTGGCACAGAAAAGGATGAGGTTCAGATCTGTTGTTCATAGGATCACTATGAGTTGGACTCGACTCAATGGCACCTAATTAGTCTCATCTATGCTACCTTCTACCTGAGAGTCATACATTCGTCAGTATATAACATACTTCTTCAATTTTTATGGTGAAGCTGGTCTCTTTTCTAAGTATGACTTTCTTCCCAAACTCTTACCTAACACATTCTTGCTAAATATTCTAATGTCCCAATTCAAATATCACCTTCCCAATGTTGTTGTTGGTACGTTCTGTTGAGTCACCTGTGACTCATAGTGACCCTATGTACAACAGCCCTAAACCTTGCTCTATCCTGGCCAATCTCAGTCTCCAACATACCTAGCACCATTACCCCAGTCACTGAATCAATCCATCCCATCAAGGGTCTTCTTTTCCTGCACTGTCCCTCCACCCTCCAAAGCATGATGTTCCTCTCCAAGCACTGGTTCCTCTTGCAACATGTCCAAAGTATGTCAGACGAGCCTTCAGAATCCTTGCCTCCAAGGAACAGCCTGGTTTCACCCTCTCCAGGACAAACCTGTTTGTTCTCCTAGCAGTCCATCGTATAGTCAATACTCTTCTCCAACACCAGAGCTCGAAGGCATCAGTCCTCCTTTGATCATCCCTAGTCATTGTCCAGCTCTCTAATGCATATCAAGTGATTGCAAATACCAAGGCTTCCTGATGTAGTCTATACAAATTCCTGGTCATCCCCCCAAATAATGGATTAATTCAACCAACACTTATTGAACACTTATTACGCACCAAGTACTATGCAAGTATTGAAGATACAAACAGGACATGTCAAACACAACCTCTACTTTTTTATTTATCTGCTTATTCTGAAGCTCAAATGAGATAAGATATTTAAAATCAAGCCCAGCAAAGTTATTTAAAAAACACTAGCTATTGTTGTTGCTGCCCAATCATCTTATCTCAAGTAGTTGCTTCCTACCCAATAAATTAATTATCACCTTATATCTCACCCTAACTTACTTTTTATCTTAGCACTTCTAAATACATCTCATTATGTATTTATAAATTTGTTTGTTGCTTAATTCCTCTACTAGGTACTATGTATTTGTTTTTAAAATAGTGTCATATCTAAAGGTCAGAACATCAGCTGACCCTTGGAAGAAGATTTAAAAAAATCCATATGTCAATTATTTCTTCAATCTGAAGGCAGAGACAGACATTAATCAGCTAATCACAGCAATAAATGTAAAATTACAATTGACATGTATGTTATAGAGAAAGGCTACAAACAGAAAAGGATATGACCTTGGTTTTTCCTGCAAGGAGTGGGCAGAGTAAACAAGTTTCCTCAAGTTCTCTGAGGTGAGAGTGTAAAGATATATCAGAATTAGGCAGGCAAGACAAGTACAAGTCATTTGTACATGCTGTTCTTTCTATTTGGACTACTCTGTAACTCATATCACTTAATACTTCAGTTCTCTTCTTGAAGTAATATCCTCTGGTAAGCCAGTTAAGAGTAAGTGCTTCATTCTGTAACCCCACACCCCCTTTTCATAGCACTCAACATATTTAAAATAATTCTTTTCGTTTGATTTCTATAATGTCCCCACACATTCAAGAGGCAGGGACCACATCTCTTTCACTATTATCCTTAATGCAGCACATTCATTGACACTTTAAAAAAAAAGTCATTAGTTGGATGAAAAATAACGACTATATCTTATAAATCTCTCTTAGGAGAAGTACAGCCAGAATGTTCCATAGAAGGGAAGATGGCAAGATTTCGTCTTATGCTTTTGGACATTTTCTATTTTATCAGGAAGGATCAGTCTCTGCAGAAGGACATTATGCTTAGTGATGGGGCAGGGGAAAAAAAAAAGAAAGAAAACCACTCTCAAAAAAATGGACTGACACAGCAACTCTAACAATGGACTCAATTACAGCAACAATTGCGAGGATGGCACACAGGTAGGTCACTGTGAGTCACAACCTACTTGATGATACCTAACAACAATGGTGCAGAATAGGGCAAGGTTCAGATCTGTTGTTTTTAGGGTTGCCATGAGTCTTAGACAACTCAAAAACAACTGACAACAGCAACATCTTAAACTAGTGGTCTTGATAGAGTAATGCACATTAGCAGCAGCATCACCTGTTAGAAATGCCAACTCTATTGTAGGCAGAATGAATCAAATCCTGGAAATGAGGGCCAAGCAAGCCCTCACTGTGCTTCTCATGTGGAATAAAGTTTGAGAACTCCAATCTTAGAAATCAACTATTCAAAATGCAGCATAATAGCAAACAGTTTGAAAAATAAATAATGCAAAGCTTCATAATAATCATTTGTTCAGCTCTATTTATTAAGTACTTTCTCAACATAGTATACAAGGAAAATAAAAAAGCAGCTAAAAATTATTTACTGCTCAAATAAGCCAATATTTTACACTTTCCCCTCATCAACTCTTACCACACATGTATGTGTTTTAACATGTAAGGAAAAATCAAGTTGGCTGGAGGCAAAATTTAAACCACAATAAGGCCTAATAGTCTTTCCAGCCTCATGTCTTACTACTACACATCTTTGTTCTCACAATGCTCCATGCAGAAGTAGCTCTACTTCCTATAATATACCCTAAATCCTTTCTATTTACATTCACAAAATGAGCTACATAAATTCTACTTCACCTTCAAAGTCTAATTCAAATGCCACTTCTTAATCCTAAATACCATATACCACAACATATGTTCTCTTTCAGTGAGAGGGCCAATGCCTATAAAATGTTAGTAGTTTGCTGTCTTAGGTAATATACAGCTCTATATTCTGAAGAAATCTTCACATCTCACTAAATTTCCCTTTCAGAATAGTCCACTACTTGTCTCAACTTTTAATTTAAGATAATACTTGTCAGGTAGTAAGAAGAGACCATAAAGTGAATCATTCAAGCATCTGTTTGACATTTTAAGTAACAGAAAGAAGTAAGATGCGGTTGCTGCCTTGAAGAACTGCATTCCATAAAGAAATCAGGTTAGCACACAATGTCAGTGATCAGCTATAGAAGGCAAAGAGTTTCTATGGCCACAGTCAGAGAAAATTGATAACCTAAAATGCAGGAATCAGTGAAAGAAGTTCACAGATTAAATTATATTACAGTAAACCCCTTAGCAAGATGGGAGGGGTTACAGAAATTGATTAATCATCTAGGAGAACATGATTACCAGAGGACAATTTTGGCTAGACTGTCTTATTCATTCCACACAGAGGCCAAAATTTCACCTGCTGTACATTATGGAGCAATGTTTTCAAGAAATGTACTGAACCCAAGTGCGGCCAATTCAATGCCAAGCCAACTGAAGTCTCAATCTATTTTGAAACAAGTGGGACAAAAAAATTGCACGGCTCACCCTATCAAAAGCTGAGTGAGCAAAACAAATGTGTGTCCCTAGGGGCTGTCAAGCTGATTTTAATACTTAGATGCCCCTGCCCTCTGCATCCAAACAATTTGTTCTGAGTAATCAATCATCAAGCCTTTTACTAAATACATATTTTTAAATTCCCCACACTGGATCCCCATATGAAAAGCACTCAAAGCACAAATCAAGTTCAAACCATTTCTTGTTGGTTCTAAATAGATTGACAGGGAACTCTGGTGGCCTAGTGGTAAAGAGCTGCACCCTCAAACCACAGGCAAGCGGTTCCAATTCACCAGCTGCTTCCCTAGCTACTTACAGCCTCTGAAAACCCGCTGGAGGGTCAGCTATGGGTCGGTTCCGACTCGACGGTACAGACAATACAACAGACTTTGGTACATCCATCAGGTCAGAGTGCTGGCCCTCACCCCATCACTCTAAACACACACTCACACTCAGGTTCTGCCCTGACTCTAGGTAATACAGGCTTGCAGGCTCTTTCCAATACCGCCCCTGTCCCCTCTCCAATAAAAAAAAAGATAATCCCTATGTGCCCGCTCAACAGCTCCTAGGGAGCAATAGCTCTCATATTGTTCCTGCTTAGACCCTGAAGCCCGTAGAAGGAAATGGGGACAGCTGTGAGCGCGGGGGAGAGAGGACATCTGATAAGGAGAAAGGAAATGTGAATGGCTGAGGACGAAGGGACAAGGAGGTAAGAAGAGAGACAGAGAAGGGAGAGGGCAGTGAGCAGAAAACAGTGCAGGAGGGTAAGAAGGGACGGCGAAGAGCAAGAGAGAAACACAACGGGAGAAAATCGACAAGCAGAATGACCGGAGAAGAGTAAAAAGCAAAATGGAAGAGAAAAAGAAGGGAGGGGTTCTAGGACGGAGTAAGGGGGCCAGCATTAGAGGCTGTCATTGGGGGTGTTCTTAAAGGGGGAGAAAGGTGTCAACGAGGAGGTAGGAGATTAAGCAGATGTCACCAAAAAGGGTTCACCTCTGCAGGTGGACGCCAATGGGGGGGTAGGTATGGGGAGGAGGAGCTGAATATCGAGGAGGCGGTAGCGAGGGGCTCAGGTAAAAGCCGGGCGCGGGGAAAACACAGATCACAGATACAGCTAGGGAAGTGCAGGCCCGCAGGGTTGGGTGGCGGGAGGCTGCGGCTCCGCAGGCCTCGCTCCCTCACCATGGCTGTGCTGGCCTGGTCGTCGGGTATGCCGCCTCTGTCCTGGGTTCGGTGGCGGGCTGGGCCCGGGCCCGCCCCCAGGCTGAACGGGCGTGGAGGCTCCAGGAGGCTCGAACGAGCGGCGGCTCCGGGCTCGGCCCAGGCCTCGGGCTCTTCGCACCCAGAAGCTAGAAGTACAGCCGCAACAGCCGCAGCAGCCGCAGCCCAAACCGGAGCACAGGCTCCACCCCCCACGAGACCCCGCCCTCACTCGAGAGCAGGCGCTTGACCCCGCCTCCGCCCTCAGTGCGCAGACTCAGCCGTGAGGTCCCGCCTCTTCGCTTGGCTTCTGGGTTCTCTCTGCACAGACCTTTAAAAAGCCACACCCCCGCCCCCCTCGAATCCTCCGCTTCTCTGAAGAATAATAACCGCTTTGAGTGTCACGTGACAACAGACTACTCGATCCACTTGTTTCAGTCTCTTATGACTTTCAGACAAATACGTCACTCTCCTTCATTCTTTTAGAATTCCAACTTTGGTTCTTTGTTACTCATTAAAATTGCCATATTTCTTGATAATTTCAACATTCTCTTAAACAATTTTTCCAATCCAGCCCTCTGCGTTGCTTTTCTCTAGCCTCAGATTCTTTCAGGCTCATAACTTAATCTATCATTACCACTCACTGGAACCTTTCCATTACAATCATTTTAATCAACCAAGTGTCACATCATAACCTCCTCCCTTTTCAGCTAACTCAGTTACACCTCAACTCTAAAGATCCAACCCAAAATGTTTTCAACTCTATGGAGACCCAAAATCACTGACCCTGTTACCTTTACTTTTTCTTATTAAACTAATTAGATTCTACTATCCATCATGACAAGAATTTTGCTTGAGATTGCCCTAAGAAATTTCCCTAAGAAAATTGAAGCAAGCAAAGAACAGCCACAACATCCTATCGTCACTGATAGCTCCCAGTCTACCTGTAACTACTCATATACTCTACTTTCCATTCTTCATTACAAGGGAATTTTTCTTCTCTTAATTAAGGGTAAACACTTTACAGTGTTTTTTAAATTATCTGTGCTGGAAGACATGTTTTTATGAAACACAATAAAAATGGTTAGATAAACAAAAATTTTAAAGACAAAAAAAAGTCAAAGAATTGTATTACTTGATCCAATAAACGTACACTGCAGGGGGGAGGGGAACAAAGGGAACTTGCCACGAAAGTTTTAAACATTTACCTTCCATTTGTTTTAAACCAAGTCAAAGTTTGGACCATCACAAGTGCAAAGAACACACACTTTGAGCAACACTATACTAGGTCCCACACTCTCTCACTTTCTCAAAGGCCTCTGCATTAATTCAGGTATGCTGTAGCAAAGAAATTATTAAAGCGTGGATTAAAACAACAAATTTAATGTCTCACACTTCTGAAGACTAGCAACCTGGAATCAAAATGTCAACTTGATTATGCTCTCCATGAAAGTTTTAGAGAAGATCTTTCTTTACCTTTCGTGGTTTCTGACAATTCTTGATAATATCTCTGTTTCCATGTACATATGTCAATCTTTCTTTTATCTCAGTAAAAACATATACACCAACACAACTTACACATTTACAATTCTTGCTGTTTGCCATTGAATCCGAACTGACCCAGCAGATTTTTCAGAAGCAATAAATCACACAGTGCAGATTGACTATCTTTCTCCAGCTTTATGCCTTCGTGATTTCAGTACAGCTTCTTACCTCGAAGCCACCAGAGCTCCCTTGTCTCAGTGAGCTAGAAGCCAAAAGTCTTGCTTCAATTTTTAAATGTCAAAGTCTTTTTTCCTGTTTATCTTTCTTTCAAATAGAAATCTCTTTAATCAAAAATCCAAAGTGAGTATTCATTCAAACCCAAATCTCAGAGTACTCTTGTTGTGGTTAGGTGCCATCAAGTCTAGTAAGTTTCATGGTGACCCTATGAACAATAGATCTGAACTTTGTCCTATCCTACCCTACGCTGTTACTCTCCTAATCTCTGACACACTCACCCCTTACTGTCATCACTATGTCAATCCACCTACTTGAGGGTCTTCCCATCCTTTGCTGTCCCTCTCCCTTTCCAAGAATAAGGACCTTCTCCAAGGAATAACCTCTCCTAGAAACATGCCAAAAGTATGTGGGATGAAATGTTATCATTTTTGCCTCCAAGAAACACTTTAATTGCACCTTTTCCAAAACATATCTGTTCTTTGGGCATTCCATGATGTATTCAGTACCCTTCTCCACTACTGCAGTTCAAAGGCATCAATTCTTCTGTCATCCTTATTCACTGTCCAGTTCTCAAATGCATAGCAAGTGATTGAAAAGTGTAACAGGCACACCTTAGTCCTCAAACTAACATCATTGTTCCTCAATAATTTGGAGAGCACCTTGACTACAGACTTTCCCAGTGCAATACATCTCTTGATCTCCTGACTGCTGACACCCAGTGCCACTTGTGGATCCAGGTAAGATGAAACTGTCAACAGTTTCAATCTTTTCTATTAATCTATCACCCAGAATACTGGATAGGAGTTAATCTTTCCCCTAGACTAAGCCCCAGCACTCGCTATCAAATTCTACTTTCAACAAGCTTATTTGTAGGGCAAATCTTGCCTTTTAGTATTTCACAATTTCTAAATCTACAATATCCAGATTAATTTATATCATACATTTTAACACATACAAATAACATCAATATCCTGTAAAGTTGAATCAAGGAGAATCTTAACACACAAACCTTTAAAGAAATTATCAGTTTCAACTTCATTCTCCATCCTTAACTTAACCTCATTCATATGCAAAAGACTTTAGGCAACTTACTAACATTGATTACATTTTTCATGCTGTGCTGTCTGTCATTATTACTGTTGTTATTGCTGTTGTTCTTAGGTGCTCTTGAGTCAAGTACCCCTCATAGCAACCTCATGAACAACAGTCTTGAACCTTGCCCTATCCTGTGCCATCCTCATTATCTCCAATACAGTAGAGCTTATTGCTTCAGTCACTGTGTCAGTCCATCTCACTGGGGTATTTCTCTTCTTCACTGACCCTCTATCTTTCCAAGCATGCTGTCCCTTTCCAAGGAATAGCTTAGCTACATGTCTAAAGTATGAGAGGCAAAGCTTTGCCATCTTTGTCTCAAAGAAGTACTCTGGGGCTTCACTTTCTCCAAGATTTATTTGTTTGTTCTTTTGGCAGCCTAAGGGATATTCAGTACTCTTCTCCAACACCAGAACTCAAAGACAACAATTTTTCTGTTATCCTTATTCATTGTCCAGCTCTCTGATGCATAACAAGTGATTGAGATTACCATTCCTTGAATCAGATGCAGCTTAGTCTTCAGACTGACAATTGTTCTTCAGTATCTTGAAGAAGTCCCTGATAGTGGACTTGCCCAGTGCAATACCTCTCCTGATTTCCTGAACTGCTTGCTAGTACAAAGGGTGTTGATTGTTGATCTAAGCAAGATGAAATCACTGACAACTTCAGTCTTTCCTCCATCTATCACAATATTGACTATTAGCCCTGTGGTGAAGACCTTTGTTTTCTTAATGCTGAGATGCAAGCCATACCAAAGGCTGTAGTCTTTGATCATCTGCAGCAAGCATTTCAAGTCCTCCTCAATTTCAGCAAGCAAGGTTGTATATCTGCATAACACAGGCTGCTGATGAGTCTTCCTCCAATCCTGATCCCACATTCCTCTTCATAAGAGTCCAGCTTCAGGAATTATTTGCTCAGCTTACAACTTGAATAGGTATAGAGAAATTATACATCCCTGATGCACACACTTTCTAATTTTAAACCATCTAGTGTTCCCTTGCCTCGTTCAGATATCAACTTCTTGATCTATACATAGATTTCTCACGAGCACTGGGATTTTCATTTTGCATGAGTTTTGGGTTTCCCATTCTTCTCAGTGGTAGACATAATTTGTTATGATCAACACAGTCAATTAAAACAACTATGAGATATCATCTCACCCCAGTCAAAATAGCAAAATTTAACAGAACAGCAAGCAACAAATGCTGGCGAGGTTGTGGAGAAACTGGAACCCTGATTCACTGTTGGTGGGATGGTAAAATGGTGCAACCCCTGTGGAAAGCAGTATGGCGCTTTCTCAAAAAGTTGCAAATAGAGATACCATTTGACCCAGCAATTCCACTACTGGGAATATACCCTGAAGAGACCATAGCTGACATCCAAGCAGATATATGCACACCCATGTTTATTGCAGCTTTGTTCACAATAGCAAGGAGTTGGAAACAACCTAAGTGCCCATCAACAAACGAATGGCTAGAGAAGCTGTGGTATATTCGCACAATGGAATACTATGCTGCATTAAAAAACAAGGAACTCGTGCAATATTACTCAAAATGGTTGACTCTGGAGAACATTATGCTGAGTGAAATGTCCCAGTCACAATGGGACAAATATTGTATGGTGCCACTGTTGTAGATTGGGACTGTCCTTGGGGTTGGGGAGAGACTGAGTAAGATGGGTTCAATAATGTATACTGCACTGAAACAGAGGAGGGAGAAAACTGTTTAAAAGAGATATATGACTAGGTACTTCTGTCATCACAGGAGTCTAGAGCGAGGGCTACATGGTGGAGGGGACCTGGGGGAGGGTTTGTAAAACAATGAAAGAATCCTTTCTTTTACTTTTCCATAATTTTTGACTCATGTGCTTATAACTTGTTAGTCAAATTTGTGTCTTCTAGGTTGCAACACCCCCATGATACATCTTCAAGGATATGAACATGTACGGCCAAGCACAATCAATAAGAGTGCATCTAAATTCCAAAATCAATCTCCATAATAGTCTATGTGTTTCCTACTGCCAAAGGGGCCCTTTAGAGTAGTGAGAGAAGATCTTCACCCTGAAACCCACAGCGTCCCTTTTCAGCAGGAAGTAGCTAAGAGAATACGCCATCCCCTTTTCCTTATGGATCAGGGTGAAGTCTCTCTCAGGGAGGAGTGATAGGGAATGGCAAAGGACACACCGACAAAGGAGATTAATCAGAACTGACTTTGACAAGCACTGTGGCAATTGGACAATTAAAACAGACATTCGGATGGCGGGGGAGAAGAACAAACTGGGGAGGAGGGTGGAGAGAATGGTGCGGCAATGAAGGAGTG